AGTAATACAATGGATATATTGATGGTCTTTGAACTATGCAGGTCTTTTGAACTGGTGATGTTAAGCTGTATCTTCTGTACCATTAATTTAGAAGTGTATGTCCAATTTCAATGATTTTACCAAACAGCAATGCCAATTTGACATGGGTTCTAGCCTTTACCTACATTACTAAATATGTATTTTTATTTTGTCTGTGTGTTTTTTTTTTTAGCCAAAGCTGTTTTTAATTTTTTTCATAGTGTGTTAAGCTAGCCATACACATAGATTTTTCTCATTCAGCCCGTAGGCTGTGCTAAAGAAATTTTTTTCTGTTTATCATGAATAGAGGAATCTCTCTTCTGCTGATTATCTGATTGGATGTTCAAATGACAATTTTCCACCCAGCTTTTTTGGCAAAAGTTGATTGCAAAATCCATTTTTGTCAAGCCAGGTAGTGCTGTTAGGGTCACCCCTGGCTCAAATTTCATCCAGTTAAGCAGAATCTGGCCAAAATTGGAGCCATCTATGTCAGCCTTTAGAGTGAAAATTTCTTACAGCTTTATATTGCTTTCTACGTTCTTACTGGTGCCATTTTGCTTGCTTCCCAACTCTATGGAACAAATGCAAGAAATGAGTTGTGAAGGTGTTATCGGGACATCAAGGCAAACTCAGCAATAAAAGGTTTTTAGAAGTTCTTCCCCAATCTTCTACAAAATGTTTTTGTTCATATCCATTTCTCTCCAAATGGGATGCAAACAGTAGTAAAAACCTGACAAGGCTCTCTCCCTCCATTCTGTGACCTTCTGTGCTGGGCTCCTAACAAATCAGTCTTTAATATATTACTACACATTGCACTTATTTTATGACTACTGTCAACTATTTGCCCACAGTTCCACTTTAGTGTCCTATTCTTTAGTTTCATGTGATACTAATTCACATTCAAGGCAGTTTATAATTTGACTGGCTGCCAGAAGAAACTTTTTAGCACTCATTATTTTTTACATGCTTTATGAATATGTGCGAGAGCTAAACAATTGCAGCGGATGGGTTTGGGATCTCATCTCTTGAATCACAAGCATAGGTTCCCAGGCCACCAGATTACAGACAAAAGTCAAAACTAAACGTCATCCCAAAGAACTCTGCAAACCCATATTTATATTTACCAATGTGAAAACTGAAAATTTGGCCTCTGATCAGGAACATCTATAAATTCCCACAGACCTTTGAGGGCATTCTATGGAGATCTCAGGGATCTCAGTCAATCTGCTTTCTTGCCTGTTATCCTGTTGTTTCCATCTGTCATGGACATTTTTGTTAATGTCTGACTTCCATTTTAAATAGTAGTTGGCTGAAGTGATTGCTGATTCATTCCAATGTGCACATTAACATGCACTGCAGCATGGCCACCCACTCCCTTTGAATGTGCCCATAGCAAACTTCAAGAAATAAAATAATGCACCTGCACTGCTTTTCATATAATTGCCGGACAATTGGGGGTAAATTTACTAAAGGTAAATAGACTTAATTTTGCATGGGAAGTTGCACTTTTCAAGGGAATTTTCCCCAGAGCTTAGTGAATGAGGTGATGCGTTGCTGACCTCCATTGTCCAATTATGTGCAAGCAAAAATGCAGTTTTTTTATTTTCCTTGATTAGTAAGTTAACCATTTGATGTCCCTGCCTATGTGTCTACCTGGCAAGTTATTATCAGAAGCCATAGAGATGGCTAGAAAACCAGTAGGGAGTAGGGAAGGCTTAGTACCTCTTTCGGGTTTTTATTGCCTTTTGTTTCCCATTGTGGAGATTTACCTTCATTATTTTTCTTGGTGACCATTGTCACTCGGACAGACACATCTAGAATTCTATGGTTGTCACAAGAAGTAAAGTACGGGTGATATCTTGTTCTTGTTCTTGACATCTGTTTTTGTGACAGCTGTCAAGTTTTCACCTCCCTTTATCACTACTTACTGTTGTATCTGTGAAATAGAAAGTGAAGGTAAATATCCCTAGTGGTGACACAGTCAGCAGTACAAACCCTCTATGCAATGCGAAAAAAAACGGTCAGCTGAAATTCTACTATAACTTTCCAACCATCCCAATCCCCTGTGACGCCAAATCTGACCTCCAGCGAGAATGCTTATGCTTCATGCATAGAAATACTCAATAATATTATCATGTGTGGAGCCTCCTTTAGTCATTCTTTCTTGCAATGTTTACAAAGTGTTTGAAGGTCTGTCATTGTGAGTTGAGCTGATAGAATGTTTTCAGTTCAGGGATAAACTGTATGAACGCTTCAGAAAAGACAAGGTAAGTGAAGGGCACGTTCCATACAGCGTGTACCTGACTTCCTCCCTTTTCAGCTCATTAAGGCAGCAAAGAAGGCACAATCGCTTGATACTGTAAATTGGCAACATTTACCATGGTTCTTAGGTCAGTTTAGTGGCATAAATGGAACGTTTGTGCTTGACATATGGCACAGGGAGAAGAGTAGCTGAGCCAAACTCATTTGCCCTCCCTCTTTACTGGACTCTGGTGGTTTGTTAACCGGCTGTTAGCTCTCTGCTGTAAAAATAATCCCTATGTGTCCTAAAGTGTCAGACTCATTATTACTTCATTGTGCTACTTAGCCTGGTGCAAGGGCAGACTGGCAGCATTTTGGCTAGAGGCAAATAATAGCCACACATCAAGCTACATTCACACGTCCACTGCCTGGATTGGAAAGAAGAGATATAATTGCACGTTTACGCAAGACAGGTGGAAATTGAAGGTGACTGCTGAAGCGAAAAGAGCCTAGCTGTCAATCAGCATTCTCTTTTTTCGAGTGCTGTTAGTGTATATAGGCTTTTATACCCAGTGCCCACAAAAGATGACGTCATACAGCTGACAGCAAGTGAGATCCAACAGGCTCTGCAGCTGTAGCAGAGTGAAAGACAGGTGGACTTGTTCCTTCCCTTGTAACACTCGTTCCAATGCCAGCCGAAAACATGTAAATAACATGCAGAAACATATGGGTTACTAACTGAAAATCTGATATAACCATTGGGAATTTTTGGTATTTATTACAAATACATTTTTAAATTCACAAATGTTTAATTCGCCTAAAACTAATATTTTCATTTTTAAGTGAGGGAGAATGAAATCATCACTATTTTTATTCATTTATTGTATTTTTTGTGTTTGGCTCTAAAGTTCCTGTTTTTTTTCCCCTTACCTTGAAGCCTTATTTCTCTTGCTGAATAATCCTCCCTGATATATGCTGCATTCCTGTTGTAAACTAAATTAAAAACTCAATGGCCTCTCTTAAAGTGTATGTAAAGTCAAACGTTTTTTAGTTTTGGATAGAGAAAGGAATGCTTAACTCTCTGTCAGGTTTTTTGTGTGTTTTTGTTTGTAAAAATTCCCTTCACTTACTGTCCAAGAGACACAACATGAATAGGAAGAAGTTATAGCAAGCTAGATGATACACCCGTGTTTGCCAGTTGTCACCAGGGCAGGTTAACCCAGCCTTTTTCAACCTGGGTGCCCAGAAACCCTGGGGTGCCTGTAGACTTCTTCAGGGATACCTTGGCAACATGCCTAAAAATTGCCCAAAAATCATATACAAGCCAGCAGGTGGATCAAGCCTGCTTTTTAGTACACAAAACCAAATGATTTAATTTATGACCTTCTAAAACTGCAGTCATCATAACAACCGATGACCTCATCAGTTGATAAGGAGGATGTCTGGTACCTGCACAGCATCCTTGTTTGCTTCTCCTCTTACCCTCCCTGTCAGCACTGAGGTCACATTAGTGAGGGAGAAACACTGGAATATTAGTCAATACCATTGTGCAAAGGTAAATTTGTTTTGGAAGAATAAATCACCTCTAATGTTGGGAGTGTGTGGATGTTGCTCTATGTGAAAATATTAAAATTGTTTTTTTTACAATTTTTACATTTTAGAATGAGGTGCCTCAAGATTGTGCAGAAGTTTAAAGGGTGCCTTGACCGAAAAGAGGTTGAGAAACACTGGGTTAACCCATTGGAAGATTCCAGTCACCTTCTGTTCCTAGGGCAACTCAAAAAGTTAGGATTTCCCATTGCTCTCTGCACTGAGATCAATGGTCACCAAGACCAATAGAGATGGTGAACCTCCCAAATAGTGACATTAACAGCAGTTACGGCACCTCCCAAATGGTGACATTAACAGCAATTACGGCTTGACCGAGGTTCTAACCCATTTATACTCTTTCTAAAACTAGAAAAAGTTTAGGTATTACATAGAATTTATGCTGTTATAATAATGTTGCTTTACTACTTAGGGTTAAGTATGTGTGCTATTATATCCTATTTTTATTTCTCTGTCAGAGGAAAAATGCCTTACAGTGTAGACTGTAGGATCCCCATGGAGGCTGACCTCCCTTCTGGGCTCGAAGTGACACTGTCAGCTTGCCCGTTTAGGCTAAAGTGAAAATGTCTGTATAAAGACCACCCACTGACAACTTCATGCTTACCTCTCCAGTGCTCCCCTGCCACTCCTTCCTCCATCATTTCCATTACCAAAATTTCTAGCGTAGGCTGGTGTTGGAGCTCAGAGGGAGCAATGATGTTACCCCCTCTTCGTGCCAGTTCTCGTGCCTGGTGATTGGGTACTAGGCATAATGGGATGGGCTCATGTGCTCCCTGATAGCCATAGAAGAAGGTATTGAGGTGAGTGACTAGAGGTGGTTAAGATGGGCTTTACACTGACACTGTAATTTTTCCCTGATTAAGGCAAAAGTGTCTCTTTAACCACTAGCCTACAGGGCACTTATACCCCCTTCCTGCCCAGGCCAATTTCCAGCTTTCAGCGCTGTCGCACTTTGAATAAAAATTGCGCGGTCATGAAACACTGTACCCATATGAAATTTGTATCATTTTTTTGTGACAAATAGAGCTTTATTTTGGTGCTATTTAATCACCTCTGGGATTTTTATTTTTTCTTAAACAAACCAAAAACCACTGAAAAGTTTGAAAAAAAAAAACGTTTTTTCTTAGTTTTTGTTATAAAATTTAGTAAATAAGTGATTTTTCTCCTTCACTGATGTGTGCTAATGAGGCTGCACTGATGGGCACTGATAGGCTGCACTGATGGACACTGATAGGTGGCACTGATGGGCACTGATGAGGAGGCACTGGTAGGTGGCACTGATGGGCATTGACAGGCATCACTGATGGGCACTGAAAGGCAGCACTGATACATGGCACTGATATATGGCACTGATAGGCAGCACTGATAGGCGGCACTGACTGGCACTAATAGGCGGCACTGACTGGCACTGTTAGGGCGGCACTGACTGGCACTGTTAGGCGGCATTGACTGGCACTGATAGGCGGCACTGATGCACACTGATAGGCAGCACTGACTGGCACTGATAGGTGGCACTGATTGGCATTGATAGGTGGCACTGACTGGCACTGATGGGTGACACTGAAAGGCAGCTCAGATGGGCACTGATATGTTGCATTGATGTGTACTGGTAGGCACTGATATGTGGCATTGATGTGGCACTGATGGGCACTGGCACAAGGCACTGATGAGCACTGACGTAAGGCACTGATGGACACTGAAAGCTAGCACTGCGGGGGCTACACTGATCATCAGGGCACACTGATCATCACTGCCCTGATGATCAGTGTACATGTCCCCTCCGCGGAAAGCCGATTACCGGCTCTCCTCTCCTCTCGAGCTGTCAGCGTGACAGCTCGAGAGGAGAGAAATGCCGATAACCGACATTTCCCTGTTTACATGTGATCACCTGTGATTGGACACAGCTGATCACATGACCGAGCCGACATCTTCGGCTCTTTCTGTGATCGGTGATCGCCGATCGCTGCGCGCCCCCTGAGCCGCGCATGTGCAGTAAGAATGGGAGGACGTCATATGACGTCCTCTCAGAACGAGAGAACCACCTTGCGCCCGTCATATTACTTATATATAGGTGCATATATATAGGTGGTTAAAGAGGTAGTAAACCACCAAAACATTTTTTAAAATTTCCCCTTCAAAATAATGTCATAATGTGCTAGTGTGCATCACATACTAGCACATTATGAAAGACTTACCTTGGAACAAAATCCTTCAGTGGCGCGCTGTCATTGCTGACAGAGCTTCCATCTTCATCCGGTCTTCCTTCAGAGTTCGCAGGCTCTGGCCACTTAATTGGCCGAGCCACAATCACTTCACTCAGAGCTCTAAAGAAAGAGCATGGGTATGCCGTTCCTTCAGAGTGCATGTGCCATTGATGTCATCAGCTGCAGGGACACTGAATATCTCCTAAATGGTGCATGTTTAGGAGATATTCCTTGTACTACAGGTAAGCTTTATTATAGGCTTACCTGTAGGCACAAATGTCCCAGTGGGAGTTTACTTGCACTTTAAGGCTAATAAGTGACAGTCTGTTTGGCTATTCCTTAACATAATCCTGACAACACCTTTTGTATAGTTTTTTAAAGTTTTTCATCAGCGCTGAGCTCAGATAGAGTATAAAATGCCCTTACAGACTGGCACTAAATCTGACAATTCTGCTCTGACAGGGAGTGAGTACAAGGAAATCATTAAAACTCAAGTAATCCTGACGTGGCCACACCATATTACAAATGCCCATTGGTGACAGGTTTATTATAGGCTACCTCTTTCTAGGAACTTACTTCCAAATTATTTTTCCAAAGCATAGCTCATAAATTCTTGTGCACATTTATTGATTGGTATTCCCCTCAGACGACGTGCGGGTGCACGAAACGCGTAGACGGAGCCAGTAACGCCGTGACATCACACCGCCGGAGCAACGTGGAGCTCTGGCGGCCATCTTTTACTCTGGACGGTTAGTCCATGTTTTTATTTGCTCAGCATGTTCAGCTTTACTAGTTGTTTACCTGGATACTTAGATACTTTCCAGTAAATATCCTTACAATACTACACTATGGATATGCTTTTGCCTTGACTCCCTTGTGGAGTATCAATTTACAGCTACCTACCACCTGACCACCAGAGAGGGAGCCTCCATTACACCCAGAGAGCTGCACCCATCTATCCCTTAAGGGGAACTCTGGATACCCCTGATGTCCCACCATTGAGTCCCAGGACCACAAGAGGGAGTCTACTGGATTCCTGCCTTACCCTGAGATAACCATTAGATGACATTTGCGCGTTCTGGTGAGTGCGCATTCCTTACGCAGCTGTATGCACATCATTCGTCTTCAGGAAGTCATAGGAATATCTGAGCACTATAAAGTCAATTTATGAACTGTTTCTATGCCATTTTGATATTATATCTGTGATTTATATATTTTCTTAATTTATTTATAAGCATTCATACATATCGTATTGATTTTATTAGTGCTGCACATTTATTTTATACTGTCTTTTAGAGGGGTTTTTTGGTTACCTTGTGCATAGCTGCTTTTGTCCTCTCTGTGCGCTCACATTTATTCGCTTTATACATAAATTCTTGTGCACATTTATTAGGCAGCTTAGACAATATTTTGTATGCAACAAAATGACATTGGCCTTCCATTGTATGCAATCTGTTTCACAATATAACAGATGAGAGATCTGAATAACATATTATAAATTGGATTGGTAATAGTCGTCTTATTGGCTAATTCTGCTTCAAAACTTTTTCATACTTGTTGAAAGAAAACACATCATAATTATTAGATAATATTCCTAATGTGTTACTTTAGTAAACCTAATTATTCCATGTTAGAATTAGATGTTTTTTTATCGAAATTGAAAACAGTCTGTCCTCAAGTAAAGAGAGCTTTGACAAGCAGCAGTTCACCATTGAAATGCAAAATAAATGTGTCATTGCTTTCAGTAGAATTTGATATGATTGTCACCATGCTGCATAATACAGACCCTAAAGCACTAGAATAAAAAAAAAAAACTCATGCTCCCTTTTGACTAGAGAGCTGTAGCTTTGGCTCAGCAGGGGGCCTGTTGAACCTGTACAGAGAGACCACTGCTTCCATACACGGAGCAAGGGTTCTTCTCTGCAGCATGCTGACTGGATTCACACATTTTGCACATTGGTGCGCTGATGTGCAATTTATTCTTAATGGCATCCCAGCGCACCTACATATGCTCCTGCACAACACACAATAGGGCACTGGCATGTGATGTGGTACATGATATTGCTAAAAAAAGGTGTATATACCTTTTTTGTGCATTTCTTGCAACAGTGCAGTGCACCTCACAGGTGTAAATGGCTCTAAGACTTTGCACACTTTTTGTTTTGATGCACCTGGAATGCATTAGGATCACCTAAACTAAATGTAACTGAATGACACTTAGTTCGCCAGAGCACTCTGTGTAAACATTTACCATTTTTATTCAAAATACTTGTTATTGCCTTTTTTTTTCATCCTTTGTGACACCTCAGTGATGCTGATCTCCTGTAGCCTCTTTGTAGTCACTTCCTGTCTATATGCATGCACTCCAGCAATGGTTGCATGCTATTTCTCAGGGCAGACATCCTGATAGTGATAATAGTGGACATAGCTGTGTACTGTATGCTGAAAAGGCCACTTTTAGTCTCCACCATGTTTCTACCGCTTAGATATCAACTCCGTGCAAGCAAGTGAGTAGTTTTTCTGCCCCCACTGGCGACTCTGTTGCTGGTGAGTTGCAGTCAGTGACTTCCCTTGTGCCTGTCTTTACTGGTCATTTGAAGTGTCACATGACCTGATAAGGGAAGTCATAGATGGAAGACTTCACTATATCTGTTGATTGAACAATGCTCTGAATGGAAGGAGCAGTCGCTGTTGAGCATATACTGTAGTATTGAACCCAGTACTTTTAAATGTACTGTGGGGGACTTATTTTTGTAAATCATACTTACAGTACCTACCTGGATGCAGCATCGATCCGATCACATGACCACTGATCGCTGAGTTCTCCAATCTGCTGAACCACACTCCTGTGATCCACAAGAGAAGTACAGCCAAAAGACCTTTGGCTGTACTTCTCCTTTAAATCTGGGGTTCCAACCATGATGATTATGAAGTCCGATACTTTTTTTTTTTTTTTTACTGCACTGACAGCAGAAGTTATTTTACTGGCTTGCCTGGTAGAATAACAGCCATGTGACAGGGTGACAATGCAGGAGCACAATTGGCTGATAGGAACAAAATGGTCTCAGCCAAAAACAGGTCCTACCTGAACAAGGGCCTTCATGGGAGGATCACCAGAGATTATTTTACTGATAGCTGCAGAATAAAGCAGAACTCAACCCTCCTATCCTTTACAGCCAATAAAATGCTATCATAGCCTCTGTTTGATCTGCCGTTGCCATGGTGCTGCACATATAATGACTTGACAGTACTGAGAGCACAAGCAACTGTGACAGTTATCGTTCACAGCCTGCCTTGAATGTAACTGTTTTGGGAAACAGTTAAATCGATGGGTTTTATTTCTACTTTAAAATGATTGAATATGACTATTGAAATAATGCTTATATGAGATTTTAGTCGTTGGCTTTACTTTAAGGCAGAGGTCTCCAAACTGTGGCCCGGGGACTGGATGTGGCCCTTTGCCAGCCTTTAACCAGCCTTTGGGGCACTATTCCTCTGAATGATACAAGGCACTACTCCTCCCACTGACACCAACAATAGTGCACTATTTCTTCCACTGATACCAATGATTGGTTACTATTCCTTCCACCAATACCAATGATGGGGCAATACTCTTCTTTTTACTGACCACAAACCCTGAGGCCATATTTATTTTTATGGATCCTGGTCCTGGGACATTTTCTAACCCCACTGACCACAATCCGGCCACCCTAAAGTCTGAAGTACAGTAAACTGGCCCTTTGAATGAAAAGTTTGGAGACCCCTGCTTCTTAAACACTGCACTGCACTGCACTGCAAAGAATAAAGCTGCAGTGTTAATTGCAGTAGCCTATAGCAGCCAGGTCAAATGACAAGAGTTCTGGCCGGTTGCTCTGGGTAGCTGCACTTTGTTCTTTATATACTTGTAAACCCTTCCATATACCCAGTGAAGTGACTGGCCTCGAGTGATACAGAGATGAAACAAATCCTAAATTTGTCAGAAGTGACTCATGCTTATAGCACAGGAACGAGGCAGTGGACAAAAATAACACTTAGTACTTTGAGTACTAATGCACATACTATAGAGGGATATGATATGTTCATATTTTATGTCTGAGGTTACAACCACCTTAACTACTTGCTGACCAGCCCATCTAGATATCCTGTGGGCCAGCAGCTCTTCTGCTCCAGATCAAATATTTGGCATTTGCAGGTAAGGGGCACACCTGCCTGAGCCTGCCCCACATCTGTGCTGTCGCTGTTATTTGTTACACAAGTCGATCAGCAGGTCCTGGCCAATGCTGTATGGCCAGGACCTGCTGATCGGCTGAGCGAATGGCAGAGCAGAGTTGTGTGTTGATAAACAACATAGCGCTCTGTACAGAGAACAGCAATGTGCCGTTTTTTTGCTTAGTAAAAGCAACTCATACCACACAAAGTAAGTATTGTTAGGCACACCGTTAACCCTTTGATTGCCTCTAATTGTTAACCCATTTTCAGCCAGTGTCATTCATACAGTGAAAATTTATAGTATTATCCCTGATCACTGTATTACTGTCTCAGTTTTCTTTTTTTCTTATTTTATTAAATAAACTCCACAGGTGATCAAATACCACTAAAAGAAAGCTATATTTATATGAAAGAAAATGCTATAAATTTAATTTGGGTACAGTGTTGCACGACCAATCAATTGCCAGTTAAAGTAGCGCAGTGCCAAATAGCAAACAATGGCCTGGCCATTAAGGGGGTAAACTCTTCCAGAGCTTAAGTGGTTTTAAGGCTTTTCAAAGAATAAGGCTGAAG